ATCGCGAGCCTCCTGAATGCCATCATGGATAATGGTCTTAAAGTATATAGAATTCTTGAAATCTTCAATGAATCTCAAAGATCTTGATCCAGATTCAACCCTTAACAGAGTAGCTTCTTTCTTAGCTATAAGATTCTGAAGTCCCTTATTTTCAGCTTCAAGAGCTGTTATCTTCTCTCCAGAGATCCATTGATCTTTTAAAAGCTAATTGATCTTCGCTAGCACATCCACCAGGGCAATGTGGAGCCTATATATCTATTTTTTATGCAAAGAAGCAGAAGTCACCATGGTAGCCAACTCAGCTCTGCACAAAACCAATTGTTCTTCTACTGCTCTCATCTCCTTAGTCTTATGGTAGAACTTTCGCTTGTACTCTCCTTGAAGATATTTTACCTTCACAAATTCTTTGTTTCATTCATCCAAGGACTGAGTAAGTTTGGCCTCAAGATCCATCTATCATAGTAACTGAAGTAATAAGATGATATTGGTAAGAGCCAATCAGAATAGATACACTAAATAAGGAAAATGAAAAAGAAGCTATTACTCATAAATTCATCAGCTCGATGATGTCCGATACACTAGTGATTTAACACATCCTCCTGAATATGTAACTTGGCATGGGAGGAGTTTGGGGGAGCCTTACTAGTACTCATTGTAACCCCCTCCAATTTCTTCTTCTTTAATAAAACTTGGGGATTGTCACCTCTCGCATGTCACTTAGGAGCAAACTTTGAAGTTGGGGCAGGTGACTAGGGAACTTTAAAGGACTTCTTCAACATCCTTGCATTAGACCTCCCAATTTGAAAAGATAGCCCAACTTTGAACAAAAATTATTCTTTTGTAAATCTGTTCGAGTAACGAACCTCGTACAGAAGATGCTCAATGTCAAGAACGTTGAGAATCCTCAGAATATCTTCTTCTCCAACATGTAAAGCTGCAGACAAATCCTTTATCTTCTCCAATTTCTCTATAAGACCCCAATAATTTTTCTCAAAGAAAAAATGCACTGTCCCCAGCCCCTCGATGGATCTCGAGTATGGACATCCAACCATTTGGATCTGAATGTTACACGTCCCTACACATGACTGTTGAATCAGACCATCCTTGAAAGACATTTGGGCATCAGAATGGCGCCTCAATCTTTGAAGAGGCAATCAGTCCCACTGCCATGAACATGGCTCTGTAAGAAAATTGGCTAAGGGGACACCGCATGCCTTAAAAATATCAAACAACTTGGGGGCTAGAGAAGTTGTGCCTTCTCCTTAGCCCCTAAAAGGGTACTTATAACTTTTCAAAGGAGGTTTGGAGAGAAAATTTCTGAATTTTCTAAAAATAAATCAAAATTTTTGACATTACAAAATAAAAATATTATACAATAATAATAAATTCTACCATGAATCTTAAGTTATACAATAGCTATAAATTTTGTCCTTAATCTTAAGTTATACAATAGTTATATAAAATGGCTTATAATTATATAAACGTTATTATAACATTATTATAATAATTATATAAGTTAAATATAGTAATATATCAGTTAACGTACTGTATAACTTTATTATATATAATGTTAGTTATATTACTATATAACTTTATATATAACGTTAACTATATTAATATATAACTTCATTATATATAATATTAACTATATTAATATATAACTTTTTATATAACATTAACTATATTAATATATAACTTTATTATTGATACGCCATCATGAAATTATCTTGAGCGGGCACGAATCTCGAGGCAAAACCCAACCCGAAAACTTTAAAAATTAAATCTGGGAGCACCCAAACTCCGATTTGAGCAAGCTTACAGTCAAACTGAGCGTCTCGGAAATACGAACCCAATGACACCAAATTCAACTCAATCCGAGTTCAAGTGAGCCCAAATCAAGCGCCCAAAGTACTGTTGGAAAGCTCGTACCACAATTTGAATTACCAAACAGTCTCCGATTTTAACGAGCTTATAACTCGAATCGAGCAGTCGACAAGATGAATCCAACGAGCCCAAGATCTCGAATTCCAACAATCACTAATACCTTCAAATGTCCAATGAACGGTGCACGATCAAAGGATTCAACATTCAAACCGTCCATTTGACCACTCCCTATTCGCCCTGATCTCACACCTATTTACAAAACTATGCCACTCCAAAAATCTAAAATAGACCCTCATTTCTCATGAGAGGGGACCCAAGCAAGAAGAGGAGAAGAAGAAGAGAAGAAGGAGGAGAATCAGCTCCTCCTCGACCACCGCCAGAGTTCGTTCCGCCGCCCGAACACGCCGGGATTCTGCATGATATTCGGGAGAACGCCAGTATTCTGCCCAACTTCCACGTGATGCTGAAATTCTTCCCAATTAATGACAGAGTCCCTCTTAACGGAGAAACACCGCCCAAGTGAAGCCGGAGTTATCCTCGGCACCAACAGACGTCGGACTACTACCCGACGCCGGACACCCCAAACCTTCACTTTCGCCAAGTTTTTACCCGACGTCAGACTCTACCGGTTAGCAGACTGTTGATGGACGTATATCGAAGATGGATTTCTTTCCATTGTTGGACTTCTACCTGAAGTCATCTTCTGACCTTCATTGTCAGACAAAGTCTTCCAGCCTTCGTCGCAAGGCAACGGTCCTCCTGACTCACGTCGCCCGCCGACTATAAGTCTTTCCGACCTCTGTCACCCGCCGACTACGGTCCTCCTTACTTACGTCGCCCGCCAACTAATCTTTCGACCTCTGTCGCCCGCCGACTACGGTCCTCTTACTTACGTCGCCCGCCGTCTAAGTCTTTCTGACCTCCATCGCCAGCAAACTACAGTCCTCCTGACTTACATCGCCCATCGACTACAAGCCTTCCCGTCGCCCGCCGCCTACGATTTTTTCGACCCAAACACAAACATGTCAACAATGACTCTTTGCATTAACATCATGTAATATACTCCATAAGTTGTACATCAAGACTAAGGCTTCCCCGAGGAAGGACCTCATTGTAATCGACTACAATACTAGTGGATTCATTTCAAATTGAGGCTAGGCCTCGTGATTTTTTCCCCCTTTTTAGGGGTTTTCCACGAAAAACATTAGTGTCTCATGTAAATGCTACACACTCTCTCTTATCTGATTGCGTGTATATATAATTTACTATATATGTTATTATAATAATTATATAAGTTAACTATGTAACTTTAATATATCTGGTGGAGATGCGAGGTATAAGTTAACTAAAAATAAATTTATTATAAGTCTCTCCATAACTGATGTTATAACTGAAAAAATTTCGAGCTTTGATCAAACCTCTTGGTATAATTATATATATTCCCAAAAAATAATTTGAATTATATATATAATTATATAATTAACGGCATCAAATATATATATATATAATTATATCGGTTATAATCCGGTGCTTAGTACTAATATTAATTAACCAATTAGTTAGTTAGTTAATCATATAACTATATATATATATACACACACGTAATTTTATCCCGCAAAAGTCTGATTTGGACATTTTAAATACTGAAATTACAAAAGTATTTTTGGACTTTGCAAAATTCAACGTCAAAAAATAAGGGGACAACTGATACGTCACAAAAAAATAATCTAATCGTGCACTAATCTTGAGGCAAAATCAAGATGGAAACTTTCGAAATTAAAATTGGGATCATCTGAACTCCGATTTCAACAAACTTAAAGTCAAACCAATCGTCTAAAAAATATGAACCCAGCGACATCAAATTCGACTCAATCCAAGCTCAAATGGGACCAAATCTAAGACTTGAAGCACTTTTGGAAGGTTCAAACTACAATTTGGATTAACAAATGATTTCAAACATGACATGCTTATAATCGAATCGAGCGGCTCGACGAGATGAATCCAACGAGCCCAAGATTGTCAAATTATGATATCATTAAAGAATTCAAATGTCCGGTAACACTCTATGATTGAGGAAATCAATACGAGCCATCCACCGGAGCACTCTGAACCTACCCAGTTCTTCTCTATAATTACAAGGTGTGACACTCGTGAAAATCTATAAATAGACCCATCTCTACATGAAGGGGACCTTTTGCTAGAGATTGGAGAGAACTCTGAAGCTTCAAGAGCTCCAGCGTCACCGCCCGGACTCCAATCGTTGTCGGACTTCAGCCCAACCATTGTCAGACCACCGCCCAGCTGCCGACCATCGTTGAACTTCCACCTGGCCACCAATCGCCTTCGAACTTCAGCCTAACCTTTGTCAGATCACCGTCGACCGCCTCCGGACTTCCACTAAGCACCGCCGGACTTTCGCTCGACCTTTGTCGGATCATTCCCCGTCAGCTAAAATTCTGCCCAGACGCCATCGGACTTTCGCCCGACTGTCGCCATTTTTTTGACTAACTCTCCAAACTACTGATATTTGTAATTCACTCAAATTTAGTGAAATCTTTTCACTTGGGCTAGGCCTCGTAGCTTTTTCCTCTTTGGGCTTTCCACGTTAAAAAGATCGGATGTTTTACTTATCTCTTTCTGTTTGTGTGATAAATATCTGTGCATTATTAAGACAAAAAGTTTACTCACTCTATCGCCGTGAATATCCTAGCCCGCAACAGTATTCATTTATCTATATAAATGATGTACAATTAATTTTGTTGTGCTATAATTATTGTGATCATACTATGATATATTAAAGTTATAGTATACAGTGTTATAATTATGTGATTGTACTAGGATATATTAAAGTTATAGCATATTGTATAATAGTTGCTATGATTTCATTCAAAGATGTCAAAATAATAATCTTATATTATACTTCTTATGAGTGAACACAATTATGTGAAAGTTATAGTCTGATGTACTATAACATATATAAATTAGTCGAATTTTATTTAAAGCTTTATTATAATATTATATAAATTTTGTTTGAATATATTCGAATCTTAGTTAAAATATTGTGAAAAACTTTTTAAAAGCAAAAATAATTTATTTCATCAGAAACTTCAGACATCGTAGCCAAACGTAAGCCACAAAATGATAGTCACTTCTTCGTCGAGGTCCCCTCCCCCTCTGCTCCTTCCCCCTCCATCGCAAAACCCCACCTGGCCACCCCCATTACTCCTCCACCTCCGACCACAACACCATCGCCGCCTCCTTCTTCTTCGTCTGGCCACTTCCTCCATCTCTCTTTTCTTCCTACGCCACATCCCGGCCGCCGCAGCCCGTGGACTCTTCCAGATGCCCCCCGCACGTCTCAGCAACCGCTACTTCCTAGTCCGCGCCGGGGAGTCCTTTTACGAGGGCATGGGCGTCCTCAATACAAACCCCGTCACCAAGACCTCCGTCGACAATGGACTCTCGCTGGAGGGCAAGCGGCAGGCGGCTCGTGCGGCGGTTGAGCTTCAGAGATTGGAGGCTTGTAGTGGGAGCTGCTGGATCTGGCCGTCTATTACACAAAGGGCGTATCAGGCTGCGGAAATCATTGCCTCCGTGAATGAAGTCGATCGCAGGTTCATTACTAGGAACTCAGCCTTGTCTTATTTCGATTTCAGACTATTGTTGATGTTAATAGTTAAATCCTAAAAGCATTTTGACAAGATATTAGTAAAATGATGATTTGCAGTCAACATAAGAAACATCACTAAGATTAATTTTTTAGACTCAATTGCAAATTGCACCAAGTGAGCCACTTCATTGGTATAAAGCTTATCTGGGAGTTAATTGCACTTAAAAATTATTTGCTAGAAGCATCAAAGATTCATAGAGGCCACAAATCACCAAAAAACACTTATTCAAATCAAGTCAACAGCTCTAATATCAATTATTAAGAGCGTGAAATATAGAGGTTTCAGTTGAGCCTCATATGCTAGCGGGTGGACACTTATTAAAGCAAAGCTTTAGTATATTGGGAACTCAATTATCATTTCACTTTTAATGTAAATTTATCCTCTATGCTCATGTGGATCGCAACACTTATTTTTGAGAACATGTTTCTTAAAATACAATCAACTATTAATTAGGTTATCTACTTTATGAGCATTTTCTTTCTATGATAAATGATAGAAGTTAAAGTCTTTGAGGATCTTTCAGCTGAAAATTTCTTCTATTTCTCGGTTTGTAGTCGAATAGTTCCTGAATATAGTTTTTTGGATGCCCGTGGGCTGGGTGCTCTTGAGGGAAGGAGCTTGGATGCTGTTTCCGAGGTGAGGGTTTATGAAGTTTATGTGGTTGTTTTGATTGGTTTCAAGAACATAGTATTCTCTAGTCTTGATTGCTGATTTGACTTTTTTATTTAGTGTGGTGATTGTGAAGCATGCTATATAAATCATCTATGAGATACTTTAGCAATGCACATCACTTGCTACAAATTAGGATGTTTGGAGAACCCTTCTAATATTAATGAAACAATCATGAAGATAAATTAGATACAAGTTGTTGATAGCTTAAAATTCTCATTGAAACCCACTTTTCTTCTTTTATGTATTTCTTGGCAATTATTCTTGTTAGTGATACACTACTATACTAAGCATATTTTATTAAATTTTCCTAGGAAATAGTTGGTTTTGTCACCATTCATTTTATTTGGAGATTAATGAAAAGAGGTATAGAATAAAACTACCTACCCTAAGAGCATAGTTATGTTATCGTTACATAAATGATTAAATTTTGGTTAACTTTTAAGACTTTTTAACTTTTTGAGATTTTTGGAGAACCAAGAACCCTACCTTGTGAAGATTTTTGCCTTATGAGGTTTATAACTTTTGAAGTTTTTGGATGGTCATATACCTTATGTGGCTTATGTTTTATCTATATCTTATGGGGCTTATGCCTTTTGATATTTTTGGTATGCATATAATTTTTAGATTTATATATTTTAAAATTTTTTGAATGATCTTATATTTTCTGAGGCTTTTATATTCTTTTATTTTTAAATGAATGTAGACCCTATCAATCACTTGCTCTTATGGAGTATTTCTAGTAAGGATTATGTCCACTACTAGCTTCCAATTGAGGCTACCTCTTGGGCGTGCATTCTCAGTCTTATAATTGAAGATGCTATTTGTCAATTTTCCTAATGAGATTTTTTGGGCATGTCTTGCAAGTGTTATTGTTAGATGCAATGAAATACTAATTATTTTAAAGAAATACTTAAAAAATACTTATTTATTTCCAATGGAAGTCAAGATTAAAAATTTAATGAAATGAGAAGCTCAATTTCAATGATACAATCTTCGAGTATGTAAGGTATATCGCCTCTTATTTAATAACTCCAATAATTTTCTTGTCATGATTGTTTTGATCTCCTCTATTTTGAGGTTGATGATATTTAAGTTGGTCTTATAAATAATGGCCAAAATATTTTTGATAAATTAGATGTTCAATCTAATCCTTTAAATGAATGTATTTTTTTATTGAATTCCTCTTACATGATGGTAGTTATAATATTGAGATTGATCTCCAGTGTATGAATTCTTTAAAAGCTTGACCACGTAGTGTTCAGAATTTTGGATCTCTATTAAGATTTTAGCGCTTGATGTATTAGTGATGTGTAATTGGGTGACTCAGACTAACTTTGGTGAGAATGATGTCTATGGTCTCTTGACTTCTCTTGTTTTTTTTAGGAGGCCAATCATGTTCATATATTGAATTCTTCCATTTGCTGAAGGATTCTTCCCATTAATGAGGAGTTGAAATGAAATGTAAAGTGTGGATACCTCCAAGAAACACACCTTATAACAACTCCAGATTCATTCTTGGGATTTGGCATGCTTTAGAAGAGAATCTTTTGAAGCACTCTTTTTAATGTTTCTCTCTCATTTTAATGAATCTCAGAAAGATGGGAGGAGTCCTTAATGATTCTTCAATTGATGATAAATTGTTCTATGAAAAGTCTAGTTAGACTGGTGAAAGCATAAATAATTTTACCCAAAAGAGAGTTGAATCATGTGCAAGCTTGTCCCTTAAGAGTTATGGGAAAAACCTAGCAAAGGGGTGCATCATTAGCATGTTGAACGTGCATAATAGTTTGTAGTTGTCAATGTGCTCATAGAGGATCATGAGTTCTATTATATGTATCAATTAAAATTAGCTTAAACCTATTGAAATAGGATGTTGGAGAATTGCATCAGTGAGGGGTGAAGATTCGTGAAAGATTTATAGGATTTGAACATAAAGTTCTTCCATCTTTTGTACATAATCCCTTAAATTTAGGCTTGGGTGTATATTCTAATCTTCTTGATTGATATATTGATTACAAGTCATTGAAAAAGTATGTGGATTGTGTTGGAAAATTTTTGCTAAGACAACATCAAATTATTACCTTCTAGAAAATTTGTGGTGGTAGACTATATGTTTAATTTTTTAATATAGGGCAAAAATTCAGCATGCACGAAAAAAATAAGTGGAGGCAAAGCATTTTTATGTGGAAAACTTAAAAAAGGAAAAAACCATAGTGCCTTAACTAATTGCAATAATTCACTATATAATGGAAGATATGAAAATTATTTCTTCCTCACAATTAATGAAAATGGGATTACATACAGTTGAGAGCCATTATCTAGTTTCTATTATAGGTATTACAAAAATCAATTGTCTACAAGCAAACGTCACAACCCAACGATGGGAATTTAGTTTAATGATCAAACGATACTAGTAGGATGACAAAAGTCTGACGATAGTGATGACGATTGTTGTATCGTTGTCAGCAATGATCACTTGAAATTGCTATGGTGTTCTTTAGCTCTCCTAGCTCTTGAATTGCCCCTTCATACAGAGCATGATGCCCTATTTATAACTTTTTTTAGGGGGGGAGGGGGGCATTTTGATAACTTTGTTCAGAATCCAATACACTCTATCGTACGTTCTGTATTGTCCCCTTGATCATAGACTGTTTATCAAATTTTAACTACCTTAATGATATCATAATCGAATGATCTTAGGCTTATTAAATTCATCTTGTTGAGCCACTCAATTTAATAATAAACATATCATATATGGAGACTATTTGGAAGTTTTCAAATATGTTTCATGTGCTTGATTGAAGCTCATTTGGAGTTGGATCGGATCATTTATGATGTTGATGGGCTTGTCTTGTCATGACATTAAGTTCAACTATAAGTTTGTTAAAATCAAAATTTGGTTGTCTTGAGATTCATATAACAAATTTTTGATGCACATGAAGGCTAATAATATATGCTTAACTTATTCCACTTGCAATAAAATGCACTCATAGAATATCTTGCCTAACCTCATTTTATGAGATTGTTCATCACAAGGATGCTCTTTTAGATGAGCAGAAGTTTATAACTTTCAAGAGGAGTTTTAGACTTCCATGCTTGTTTTGCAAAGGCCACTGGTAGCCTCTAGCATTGACGAATTCATAAAGACGAATTCATAAAGGGATTGAACAATGAATTTCCTTAGTGTTAACCTTTGCACTCTCTGATTTCTGATATCAATAAGAAGTTTGGAATTATTGAGCATTCTTGTTTTGGCTTACCCAAAGTTTCCTCCTTATCCAAATTAGCTTCCTTAATATTTCCCCATTTTTTAGTAGAACTAGCCCAACTAACTAAAATATATTATGCTTTGCTAATTGAAGAGCTGTCAAGCTGAAAGGTTGCTAGTTTTCAGAACCATATTCTAGAAAAAAATGATGATTTGCCAGCTTTCAAATTGAACAGGCTCTGTAATATCTTTTAAGTATACTTCCTTCGAAATCAATTGTCTTAAGTCAGCAACAGTAAGGGCTATGCAATGTGTCCAGCTTAGTTTCTCCCAAGTCAAGCATCTTAAATATAAAGAAATTATATCAGGGCATCCTAATGCAAATTTATATTGGCATGGATGCATTAAATGACACATCTCTTTAAAAGCACATTGTAATTTTCACATTCATCTCTTCTTCCATGCAATAAGTGGAGTTATCTATTTGTCTTCACCAACTCGAATGTAAATTAAGTTCTTCCTTAATATTTGGGGATTCAAATTCTCTTTTCCAGCTAGATTTTGTAGGTATTCTCAATAAATGGATTTCAATCCTTGTTAATTTATGTGAAGTTTAAGAAACCCCTATATTTCATAAGGAACTCATCAATCGACATCTCTAGTGAATTGTAACAAACTTTCATCCCAATAAGGAGCTATTTTGGATGTTTATGCTCAATGTTGAGATACCTTAAAAGCAACAAAGTATCCATTGCTTGTTATGCCCCTAGTTCTTATGAGTTTTGTACGTGTCTGATTCTTCTGATAGTTTTTGTTAATAACTTCTCATATGAGTAATCTAATAACTTGACCTTATCAACTTTAAATAATCCTGTAACTTCTTATTCCATTAAGAATTGAATCTTTCAGAAATGTACTAACTATCATGCCTGATGTAGAACAACATGCATGAATCGGAAACTTGCACAAAATATGTTAAGAGCAATTTCAGATTTCGATATATGTGATTAAAACGATAAAGTAAAACTAACAAATGGTTACTTCCGTTTAGGCAAAACAACACAAGGTGCTAAACGAATTCAAAACACGTAGGAAAATAAAGCATTGTATACAGAGTAGTTTTCAACTTAACCTTTGTTTAACAAGAAGATCCAAAGCAACGAGGTAGCAATTCCTACGAATACTAGTGGATGGCGATAAGTCGACACAATCTCTTGCTTATACAATTTCTCACGATGAAAGTAGAATTTGAGAGTAATGATTCAGTGAAGAAGATCACCTTCTCGGAGAAACGACGTGGATCACTATACCTTTTCGTTATTTCTTCTTCCCTTGCCTTGATCACAATGAGTAGCAAATGGTAGATGGCCTTCTCTTTGATTCCAGCGATGTTGAAAATATAATCTCCTTGGTCCCGTCCCAAATGATGGAAAAATTGAGAAGTTTTCTCTAGCAAGGAGATAGGAGAGAAGCTTCAAGCCATTTCCCAATAACCTGAAAATTATTTCAGGTTTTCCTTCTAAAAACCTGAGAAGGAAATCTCAGGTTCATGTAATAGGAGTTGAGAATTGGAGCCAAGGGTTGCAGTAGCAAATACACGTGCATAGGAGGGAGCGAGAAATGGTGGGGAGGAGATATGTGAAGGGAAGGGAATCGGGTATGGAGAAGCTGGGCCGGCAATGTAGAGGAGATAGGGAAATTCTCTCCAAAAAGAGGTTCCTGGGTGTTTGAAATTCGGCAGAGAGGGAGTAAAGAGGTTTTATTTTATTTCCAAAGGAGGCATTTGGCTTTTGGAAAGAATTCCAACGGAAGCCTTGATGAAGCCGACGGCATGCATGGCAGAGGAAGATTTTGGTGCAGGTAATTAAGGTGTCTTAATTAGGATTTGATTTAAGAAAGGCTCCTTTGGAATCCACTTGTATTTGAATTTCAAATTAAGCCCAAAACAAATACTTTCCTAAAATAGATGAATTATTTTAGGAAAGATTTTGAATTCAAATTCAAAAGGAATTTAAAATTCAAAATTATCCAAAAATAATTTTCAGTCAATTAATAAACTCAAGGGGAGAAAAGGCAGTGGGGGCCGGAGATGGGCGGGGCCGGTCGGCGGCTAGGAATTGGTGCCGGTGGCCTAGGGGCTCGGGTAAGGGGTTGGCCGTGGGTATTGTGTGGGGATGAAATGGCTCGGGTGGGTGGAGAAACCGGCGGCAAGGCGAAGTGGGTGAAGGGGTTTCGGCAAAAACAAAAAGGGAAGAAGAGAAGACAAAAATAAACCACGAACCCGGCCGTCTCCAAGGTTGGTGGGTGATGCGCCAATCTCCCTCTCCAAGGGATCTCTCCAAAACTCTCCAAGAACTCTCAAGGCTCTCAAAATCACAAGTGCAGGAAGAAATCTCAATAATCATTCATTAAACCTCCAAAGTACAAGAAGAAGGCTATAAGTAGCCTAATACAATGCCATAAAATAAAAGACTAAAATACCCTCGAGGGGCTACAAGACTCAATCCCTCAAGCAAGGGTACAAAAGGAAAAATGCAGAAATAAAAATACATGAAAATAAAATGATCATACTAAAATCAGAAATACATCGGGTAAATCGTGGCAGTAGATCTACGGCCACGTCGACGGTAGACTTTCCAACTAATGTCCTCATCAATGCCTCTCATCATTCACAAATATGGACATGATTCAAGTTCTCAGAGAAAATAAACCCCTTTTAGTCTAATTAATTTACCTCACTAATTTTTGTTTTTTTTATTGTTTAAACTATTTGAATCCAAGTTTAATAACAAATTAATTGGCTTTTGCCAATTTCGGGTGGATTGTATTTGTTTCATGGCTTTCTTTCCTCCATGAATGTTGCCCTAGAAGATTCGAATGTGTTGTTGGATGAAAGTTATCTACAATTTTTTGTTGTTGGTGGTGATGTTTGATTTAAATCGAATATGAGTAATGAGGTATAAGACCAAATATTGGTTATGTGGTGATTGTTGTTGCATTTACAATTATGATGATGCTTGATTCATAACTTCATGCAATTTGCCTAAATTATATACCTTTCCATCTTTTTTTTATTTTTGCATAGCAGTTAATTTACTTTTCCATTATTACAACATGAAACATACTTACATCTTTATCATGAATTTTCAGGTGTATGAATTCGATGAAGTTTCACCAAACAATAAACCACCTCCCATTACAGATGGAACGCCAAATGAAAGTGTTTCGGATGTCTTTGTTCGTGTGACACAACTGATGTCAATTTTAGAAACTCAATATTCTGAACAAACCATTGTTATCATATCTCCAGATTCAGATAATTTGTCGATATTGCAAGCTGGATTAACAGGAGTTGACCTTCGCAGGTATTGTAATCATAATTTTAAGCTTCCCCGACATTTCCTAGCAATTTGTTATTTTAGTGGTCACACACTCTTCTTTATAAGTTTGAATAACCACCCAATTGAATTATGCATACTAGTTTTTCTTTGGATTGCTTTCTTATTAATCAAAGCGAAAAATAGCCTACATTTTGTTAGCATGAAAGGTGCAACACATGCAGATTTTAATCTACCAAGATTATTAGACCTATCAAGACAAAAAGTTCAAAAAACAGTTAAATATAGTGTTCAAAAAGATCCCATTTAGTTTTAGCACTTGAAAAGTTTTTTCCAATATTTTATTGTCCTAGTTTTGCAAACTCCCAACTAGACACTTTAGTTTAAGTGTATACGTTTTTGAAGTTTGCTTCTACATAGAGTACAACGAAGAGCTCATTTGGTTCTCGCTAGATTTTTTTTAAAACTCTTGATACTATTTCTAATGTAATAATTTCATTGTCCCACACAAAGCAAGTAAAAACAAAGTCATTATGTTCTAAAAAAAACATAATGTCTTATTACAAACAATGAAATCGCCCTAAGAAAGTAAAAATGTAATCAATTTAAAAAGAAAAGCATATAATTCAAGATGCTTGGATAAAATTTTCTAGTTCCAAGCTCATTGTGAATTGTTTAGCTTGACTGGTATCCATTACTTTTAGCAATTGATTTCTTTTTTCTATTTTGCATACAGGCACTGGGATCTATCATTCAAGCCTGGGGAGGTTCGAATGGTGGATCCTGAAAGCATCCCCACTTACAAAATGCCAGCATCAGCTGTTTACAAGTGTATGAATCCCCCAAGTTGTACATGATCTTGGACAAGTTGCAATCTAAGGAATACCTTTGTTCTTCTCTTTATCTACACATGTAATTGTGCATCTTATTGTAATCAAACGAGGTATTATTTTAGTCAAATTAAGACATCCTGCTAACTTCTTTTTAAACCTTCAATTACAAAATGTATCTAACTCAGTCTATTTTATTTGGGTTTTCTTTTTTGTTACCATTTTTTCCTAAGCAATGCCATGGGCTAACATTTATGTGACAAACCTCTACACCTTAACCTATTTGTGCACTCAATATTTATATAAAAAAATGTTATTCATGCACGGCAAGTCAGCATCTCCAAGTTTTGAACACATGCTCATACATTTAGAGTGCGTTTGGGACGGCGTTGCTGCTGCTGTGCTATATAAAAAGCATTGCACTAATCGCGTCAGAAGCGGTTACAAATATTTCTGCTTCCCCACGCATCTTTGCGTGATCAGACCCTATCTCCCACGGTCCGCTGCTTTCCTCGGTATCGAAGGTAAAAATGACGTAAATGCCAACTTCGTGGGAGAGTGCGATCATTTTCGCGATACCCACGCCCTCATCTCCACTACGGTGGCTCCCCTCACGGCATTCTCATCATAAAAGTCATTGACATACGATTTTCATAGAGGTCATTGGTCATCGCAATCCCTATCCTCCTCCTCGTCTCCACCATAGTCATCCACTCGCTGGCCCTCTTTTGTTCTACAGTCAGCAGCATTGCAACCTTCAGCCTCGCCAAAAGCCTGCTTCTTTCAGTTGTCCTCTGTTTCTCTCTAGAACCAGTTCCCATTTCACCACAACATCAACCATAAGTTACTGCTCTCCAAGAATCTGCCTTCTGTTGTTCTTTTCAGCCGCAAGAAACCCGCCAACTGTGCTAGTTTTTATTTTTTCCGCAGCAAACATTCTTCCACATTTTACGTCAACTCCTTCCACCGCAGTAATTTTGTTTTTCCTGCCTTTTTTCAGCCACAAGAATCACCTTCACCTTCATTCCAGCCGCAGTTTTGCTCCAGGCGCACCATATCTTCAAGAAGGATCCATTGGAAGTCTTGCTGCCTATCAAGAACCTGCTTTTTCATACAGCAGAACCTCCACACCAGTATTTTCTTCTTTTTCCCATACATCCTACTATTCAGTTGCCGTCTCCAATACTTGAGAGCTTCACTGTCATCCCTCTTCAACATCAACAATCTTCATGCAGTAAGGATTTGCTATTCCTTCATTTCAATATCCATAAAAATGTATTTACAGACTTGGAAACTTGTTATTCTTATGGTTTTATGTTTTTCATCTTATACCAATATATTTGTTTATGTTATGAGCTTTAACATAGCTTTCTAGTACATCCTTCAGGAAATACTGGTGTGCCTTACATAAGATCTAGCAAAAGTTCCATCTGCTTAAACCAAACAATCAGACTTCATTTTTTTGCATATTGTATCCTCTATAGAAAGTAAACTCTGCCAATTAAGATCTCAAACTATGCATATAAGCAACTAGCATTCAAAAGGAACATAACAACAAATTTTATACGGCATAATAATGGCATAGTTTGATGAGGAAACATGCTTCATTTCTTCTTTATCATTTGGAGCATTCAACACTTTTATAATACAATATATGGCTGATACGTCATCAAAAAATTATCTTGTTCGGACACAAATCTAGATGCAAAATCAAGTTGGAAACTTCCAAAATTAAAATTGGGACCATCCGAACTCCGATTTAGCAAACTTATAGTCGAACTGAGCGTCTGGGAAATACGAAGCCAACGACACCAAAATCGACTCAATCCGAGTCCAAATGGATCCAAACTAAGGGTCTGAAGCGCTGTTGGAGGGTTCGAACCACAATTTGGATTATCAAACGATTTCCAAACATGACATGCTTATAGTTGAATCGAGTGTCTTGACAAGATGAATCTAACGAGCTCAAGATCATTGAATTCCGACATCACAAAGACCTTCAAATGTCTAATGAACGGTCCACGATCAACGGATTCAATATTGGTCGTCCATCCTACCACTCCTCATTTACTCTTGATCTCTCACCTATTTATGGGTCATGCCACTCCATAAATGTATAAATAGACCCCTCATTCCTCTTGAGGAGGGGGCTCCAAGCAAGAGAGCAAGAGAGAGATCGGAGATCACTCTTGACTCCTCACTCCTCGACCACCGTCTTAATTCCGTCGAACCATCACCTGAGGCCCTGAGCTATGCTGGACCACCACTTGAGGCCTTGAGTTCTGCCGGACCACCTCTTGAGGCTCTGAGCTCTGTGGACCACCACTTAAGGCCCTCACCTTTGTCGGACCACCGCCTGACATCGGTTCTCTGCCGAACCACCACCTGAGCTCCGCTGGACAACCACTTGAGGTCCTGGGTTCTGCCGTACCACCACCTGAGGCACGGGCTTCTCCCAAACCACCACGTAACGATAGGACTTCCGTCGTACCACCACCTAAGGCCCGAACTTCTGCCGGACCACCACCTAAGACCCGAACTTCTGTCGAACCACCGCTTGATGCATGGAGTTCTATCGAAGTACCGCTTTACTACTATGGTCTTTCGGACCCTTGTCTCCTGTCTACTACTATCATTTCGACCTCTGTCGCCTACTATGACCATTCCTACCTCCATCACCAGACAACAGTCTTTCTGACCCCAGTCTCCTGCCAAATATGATCTTTCGGACTCCTGTCTCTTGCCGACTACGGTCCTTCCAACCTCTGTCACATACTCTGGTTCTTCCGACCTCCATCACCAGACAACGGTCTTTTCGATCTCTATCCTATCGATTATGGTCGTGTCGACCAAACAAACATGTCTATGTTGATTATTGTAACTCTCACCATGTAATGCACTCTATACGATGTACATTTGTAACATCAAGCCAAGGCCTTCTTCCAAGGAAGGGCCTTATTTGTAATTGACTACAAATACTAGTGGATTCATTCAAACTAGGCCAGGCCCTGTGGTTTTCCCCCTTTTTAGGGGTTTTCATGTAAAAACTTTGATGTCTCTTTTGAACGCTGCACCCTCTCTCTTATCTGCTTGTGTGCTAGATCTTCGTACAATACTAAGACATTAAACTATATATTTCTCTACCACCGTGAATATTCCAGGACGCAACAATGACTATCAAACATGCTGGAAATTTCTAGTAATTCTTTTCCACCTCAGAGTTATTTCACAGGAAAACTTTGCTTATTTTTTACAAATTTAAAGCTCTACGTTTAAATTTTGCATTTCATTTAAGTTTTCAAACTTCTGCAATCAATTTAATAAGAAAAGAGGGTATTTGCTTTGTCATTGATTTATATAAAGAGGCAGATAAATTATATTTTTCTGTTAATTTCTTCCAACGAAAAAAGTGTTAATGAAGTTTCAGATTACAACTGTCAGTAAGATTTTTTAATAATTTTCAAAGCACCATTGACTTGTATATGTTAGAAACTTCTTTGATATCATTCAATTGGATCGAGGATAGTCCTTGAGAAGGCCACGATCATTTAGTTCTTAGAACTCAAAATAAATATTTAAAAATAAAAAATAGTTATTATATTAGAATGATAATTTGACTCTTAATATTCAAATCATTTAGTTTTTTATATAAATTTATTCTCATCTAAATATATATAAGGGTATCAAAGTAATTTATGCTTATAAAGCTAGAGCACAACAGATACACAGTTAAACTTCCCAAATAAAATATATTGTTTTTTATACGGCAACTTCAAAAAGCAACTTTCTGTACATCAACTTCACAACCTGCTTTACCGATAGCTGCAGCCGTTCCAAACTGACCCTTAGACTACTAATGATTTGCTTTAATAAATTTATTGTAACGAATGAGGCTTGTTTGACAAAGTTCAATTTCAGATTTCTAACCTCTCTTTTTCGTCATACCAACAAAGTCTTAAATTATAGTATGAATTCTTTTTGGAACTTTATTAGTGTTAATACTTGAACACAATGTTTGGAGTTATATATATAATAGCCAGATTATTCAGTGCCAGAATGCTGGATGTAGAAATTTGGGATGCCTGAAAGTTGCAAGGGGGATCACCATACATTGATTATTATACATTTAGAGAGAAAAAGCCTCATGATGATTTTTTGGATCTCATTTTATATTGCATATAAATGATTTGGAAAGAACAATAAATGTGGCTCAACCATTCATATGAGTTTTTAATATATACAAATCCATAAAATAATATAAACAATATTAAGCAAAATTTACTAAGTGTTTGGTTGAAATACAAAGGGGTGTTAAGTATTTCAAGTGCAGAGGCTTTACAAATTTTGATGTTTTGTTGGAATACAAAGTAGATCAAAGTAAAGTAAATGTAGTGTAAATCATTTTAGTTTATTTTTAAGTAAATAAAACCTGCCCAGTTTTAAGCCAGAACAGTTTACACCACAATTTCATTTGATCAACGCCCACCATCGCTACCATCCTTCAGCCGCCGCTGCCACCTATAATGTTGGCAACCACCACCGCAACCCTCTACTGGCGACCACCACTGTCGGCCACCACCAGCACGGCAGATTGACCCCATCGCCGACCACTTCCACTACCGGCTACCACCACTATTGGACACCACCATCAGCTAACACACCCGCCGATCTCCGCCACCACCTGCCTCCAACAACCACCACCAACTACCCGCCCCCCACCACCCAATCTCACACAGCTGTTAGTTACCATCCACCACCACACCTGCCCACCGGCACCACCAATGCCACTACTGTCTCCACCATTGCCACTACTATTGCCGACCAAACACAATCACCGACCACCATGCCATCCGAATACACGATCCACCTGCCACCAAACCGACAACCACCACGGTCCACCTCACCCTCTGATTGCCACTATTTTTAACTTACACTGCATTCATCAATTTCAACAAAAAAAAATCATTCACTTGTACAAATTACATTATAAAAAACTCCAAAGTTTTCCTTTTTATAATCCCATTACTTTTACACTACTATTATTATTATAGTTTGCATTCTTTTTTAGCTTAACTAAACAACCCCTAAGTATATAAAGACTAAATAAATAATTGAAATTCTCAGAATCATGACAACATATACTAACATATTGTATTTAA